CCGCCGCTGCCGCTCCGTTGCTGGAAGGCGGCGACGTGCAGATCTCTGCCGCATCAGGCGCTTCGGAACTAGTCAATGATCAACGTGAGATTATCCTCACTCACTCCGTTGCTTGCGCCGCACAGGCTTGCTGCCCGAGCACTTGCCGCACCAGCGGGCGCTCTGCCCACTCCACCCCTTCCATGCGGCCGAGAGGCCGGTCGCGGCGCCGGTCGATGGCAATGAGGCGGCTTGCCCCAACTGCTATTGCCTCATCTGCGATGCGCGCGTGTCCGAATGCGGTCACTGGCGGGGCGGCGACGCGCCAGCGCACTGCAATGCGCATAGCAGTAGCGCATTGTGGCGCCAGAAGCGCATCAATGCGAAGCGGCAGCGCACGCGCGCGGTGCGGGCAGCGCAGGCGTTGGTCGACCCGCAGCCAGCGATGCCTTTTCGATCCGGTCTGAGGAGCGGGCTTGGGTGAGGTGCGTCGCACGTCCAACTATGCTGACTGGATGGTGTCTCTGACTCTGTCCCGGTCGCCGCGCAACTATCGCAACTGTGTGGTTTGTGGCTTTTCATCATAGATCATTGATCGAACGGTTGTTCGGAAGATCGTCGTTGTGGCGCTGTGGGAACATCCCCAGGGCCTCCAGGGCTCGCACCTCAAGCTCTCATAGTGTGAGTGAGTGAGTGTGAGTACACACACACACACACACACACACACACGCTCTCTCATACCGGGGAGCAGGTGCGTGTATTTTCTTCTCAATAACAAGGCTGGGAACGGCGCGTTGAGAATCCAAGACCAGGCTAGCCAGCTCTAGGCCCGGAGACGCGGCGACGCGTGCCTTACCTCTTGCGTCGTCCGGGGTGTGTAGCGCTGCGATTTAGACTGTAGAGGTAATTTGGGGCATACGCTGGCGCGTTCGTGGAAATCTTCTCTGCTACGTAGTACATATTTTGATCCACTCACACAGCCCTCTCTCCTCCCTCTATCTCTCACACAGAGCACACACGTCAGAGAGCAGAGGACCGCGCGCTCAACGCTCGAAGTTTGAGTGCACAGATGGGGATAAAGCAATGCGACAGCTACGCTACAGCTACAGTACACGCAAGACAAAGTCCTGTGAGTTTCTTGTTTCCCGGACAAATAGTTAGAGGCTGCGCAGGCCGTCCCGTTTGCATAAAAAACGCCCGCGGCCCGGCCATGGGCCCGGCGCCAGCGCTGGCCGCTGGCCGCTGCGCGCGCCGAGGCTCTGTCTCACTCACGTGCCGCGTTATGTGTCACACACGGCGGCTTCTGCCACCTCTCGATCGGTTCCACTTTCTACGCACACCCACCGGGGAAGGGCCCCAGAAGGGG